TTGTCAACCTTACAGTATTCTTCCTGAATATTGCAGCTCTTTACAGTGTATATCAAAACTACCCATGAGCATGGGAATACAAAAGGTCTGGATTCCTGTAAATGTGACAAAAGGTTTGTGTGTGTGTGTGTGTGTGTGTGTGTTTACTACACTTCAGATTTGTCTTTCTTCTTTTCTGTCAAAGCAGTAACCCAATCAGACAACTTCACCGAGACCCCCGTTCTGCTGTGTATTTACTGTGAGCTTTTGCCTGCCTGTGCTACTTTTACTTGTAAAGCCAGAGCACCCATGCTTCTGCCTTCTGGAATATAGAGAAATAGTTTCATCCTGCGCTACCCTTGTTCTGTAGGTACTCTGATGATAGTCGGTGGGGTTCTTAAAGTTTGCAGTATTCTCTTCTTTGGCTGAGGGAGGGGAAGGGAAAGACCATCCTATTTCTTTTATGATAGTGCACACTGGCTAAAGTCTATGTTTGTATTTCCTTATCATTAAAATACTGTTCAATTTGTTTTTTATAGACAAAGAAAAATATTCTGAATAAATTGACTCCACTATTGAAAAAGGGATGTTTTAGGTTGAACCATTATAGCTTCACACTCAATCTTTTCCTAAATAAAAATGTTAAAGCCTCAAAAAAAAAAAAAAAAGTAACTTTATGGTGGCGAAGGCAGACATCATCTTATCTACATGCTCAAAGTTAATATGAACTTTAATGGAATAAGTCAAATTCATGTGACACCTGATAGGATGTAATGAGAACACAGCATCACTTCTGTGATATTCCCGCCAAAGATGTATAACCTGAACCTAATCTTGACACATGAAACAAACCCAAATAAATGGTAAGGCTGTAATCTTCAAAAGTGTCAAGACTGTGAAGGTCAAGGGAAACTGAGGAATTCTTCCAATTTTAAGAGACTAAGGAAACACGACAATGAAATGCAACTTATGATTCTGAACTGGGTTCTTTGGCTATTATAGATATTATGTAGACATGTGGGAGAATTTGAGTGAGGTCTGAGTATAAGATGGTAGTAACTTATTCCCCAGCTTTGAAGGTTGTATAGTGGTTATATGGGGGAATGTTCTTATTTGTAGGAAATCCACAGTAATGTATTCAGTAGTGACAGTAACTTACTCTCAAGGTTGAGACTGTCCAAAAACAAAGTGTTTGCAACCCCAACTGTCCACACCTTTTCCATACTTGAGGCTTTCTTCACTGTGAACTTACATTTTCAGGTACCACACCCCGCTTGAAACTATCCAATGACTTCCCATCTCACTCTGAGTACAAGCTAAAATTCTTTCAATGGCTCCTAAGACCCAGTAATATACTAGAGACAGATGTTAAAATTCCAGGCATTTTGCAAACTGGTTGACATCACTTTGGTAGCTTGACATCACCCATAGTGAAAATATCTACACCACAGGAATCAGTAAATGCTGCAAATCGGGAAGATTTTTTTGTTAGTTTCACTGGCTTTCTCAGAATGCAGGTTGTTAAACATTTACTAACCTACCTCTGTAAGACCCTTTACTATGTGCTCCACCAGCCCACCCACATCTCTCTGAACTTGGCACCCCTTCAAACTTGCTATTCTCTCAGAGGGAAACAGTCTTTCACCACATATTATACAGTTCTAAACCTCTCCCCTTCTGGTTTATTACTCAAGTGTTGCTTTCTCATTTGGAATAAGGGGTTATACTTTTTTCTCTGTATCCCTTTTTGTTTTATTTTTTTCTATGTACTTATCTCCATTCAATATCATATATATTTTATTTATTTTGTATAATTTCTGCTCACCTCTCACCCACTGCCACCATTAGACTATAAGCTCAACGACAGCCAAATATATTTTTCTTTGCCCTTGTCACTCTTCATAGCTGGATTCCAGCACTTAGAATCTGAGTTTTCGGGATGAGAATAGGAACTCAGTAAACATCTGTGGACTGAATAAATGAATGGCCAAGGTTTACCCCAGGCATACTAAAATGGCTTCATATAAACAGATTTTTCTATTGCAATTCACAGATGTAAATATGAAAGGAAAAAAATGACCATCACGATACATGCACAAATCATTACAGAAAATATAGTATCTATTAATGATTAAAACCCATAATATGCTAGGAATAGAAAGGAAACATGCAATTTACCACACAGATTCGCCAAAAGTCAATTTCATCATACCTAGTGATAAAATGCTAGAAATGATGGGGTTTTGGAATATAGGTGAGGTTCGGTGGGGTGAGGTCCAGAGCTGACGACCAAGAAAGAATTCTTGAGACGTCTTTGGTGCAAAATGGTGGTTTATTAAAGTATGGGGACAGGACCTGTGGGCAGAAACAGCTGCTGCACCGAGGTCTTGAGAAGTGGCTGATTATACTCAGGAGTTGGGGGAAGTTAGGAAAAAGGGAGGTTTCAAAAGAACTTTCATATGCTAAAGAGTTCCAACCTACGAGATAAAAGATATCAGAGGTCTTGCCATTGTCAAGCCAAGGTTGCTTTCCCCTCTAGCAAGGTATTAACATTTAGTGGGAGATTCCTGGAAGAATGTCACAAACGTCCTACCCAAGAGTGGGAGGTAGGGGGAGGTTGCAGGGTATCAGCTAGCCTTCTGCTCCCTCATCAGAAACATTTAAGTTTAGGAACAAGAATAAAACTCAATCATATCATTTACAGTAACTGTAAACAGACTAAAAAGTTTAAAATGCAGAGATTATCAGAATGGACTCAGAAAAACTCCACCCAGCATATGCTTTTTTAAAAACTTATATATTAAAGGCATACGTTAACAGTAAAAGGATAGAAAGAGATATGTGATGCCAAACAGTACAGTCAAAGGTTTTCTGACAAAGACATTGTGTTATTTCGATGGGAGAAATGGCACTCTTTTAAACTAATGGCGATGGAACTACCAGATATCCTTATAGAAAAAAGAAAATGAAATTTGACTATCTCGTTCCAAACACAAAAAATGAATTTCACCTAACTATAAAAGCTAAAACTAACTCCTAGAAAATAAACACAGGAAAAAACTTTACAACCTTGAGGTAAGTAAAGATTTCTTAAGACACGAGCAACACTAACCATTAAAGATGCAATAAACTGAAGTTCATTGTAATTAAAAATCTTCTGTTCCTGAAAAGACACTATTAAGAAAATGAAAAGGTAAATTTCTGATTGGGAACAAGTATTCATATATTCACAAGGCATAAATAAGAACAGTCTTATTTCCAGACTCTAGAAAGAACTCTTTAAATTCAACAACACAAACCACCTGATTTTTTATAATGGCAAAAAATCAGAAGACACTTTCCAAAGGAACACGTATGAATTAACAAAAACCAAATGAAAAGGTATAGAATTTTGGACTATTACAGAATTAGGTAAAATGAAAATGTATGACCACTAAAATGCTATAGCAACTTTATTCATAATAATCAAGTTCTAGAAACACACAAAATATCCAGCAATAGAATGGGTAAACATATTGTATATTCATACAGTAGAAAACTACTCAGCCAGAAAAAAATAGACTGACATGTGCAATGACACAGATGAAACACGAATCTCAGAAGCACTGTTGAAGGAAAGCAGCCAGAATCAAAAAAGTACATACTGTATGAATCCATTTATATACAGTTCATGAAATGGCAAAACCAATCTTTGTTGAATGAAATCAGAAGAATGGTTGCTTTTGCTTTTATGAGGGGCAAGTTGGTGATAAAACTCAACAGCCAAAGACCATTAGGGACAAACTAGTAGTCTAGCAAAGTCAGGTTTCTTCACTTGCTTAAACAAGGGAGAGTAACCTAGGGGAACTTTGAAGGGCCCCTTTGATTAGAGGAAGTAGGGACTTTGTCTTGTTTTTGTTTTGCTTAAGACTGGGGCTGCTAATAACCCTACAAGGTGGACTGGAATTGGAGATACTTATCTGAACTTATGATTTGAGACGGAGAGGGAGAAACAGAGAAGAAAAAGAGAAAGAAAAAAGACTAATAAGTATCACCCATATTTTACAATTGAAAAAATTCAGATTAAACGATTCTACTCCTGCGAAGACGCTAGGATTTGAATTCAGTTCTCATGCCAAATTTCCAAACTGCCACACCTATACTTGGCCGATTTAAGGAAAAGGCCGATAAAGGAAAAGATAGCATCAACCTACCTCTTGAGTGGCTCCGTGTAATAAAATTTCAAGGATTTTAACATCTAATTTACTCTATTTGAAACGGCAGTCACAAGGGAATAATCGAGGGGGTCACATACTACCAAACAAACAAGGGACCCAAACAAGGGACCATTTCTCCTAAAAGTTTCTTGAATGTGTAGTGAATAACAAGTTAAACGTTTGCTGACTTCTCATTGGAACGCGCAATGTGAATACAAGAATGAGCTCCAATAAGAAGTCTGCAACCTTTGTTAGTCGTTCAGTGAATGTGTCAGTTTTTCTGCAGACAACAGCTTGGGGAGAAAAAAACAACAACCCGAGTTTATGTACAAAATAGGAAGCTCTCACATTGGACTTTATCCTCTAATGAGGATCCCAAAAAGAAGGCAAGGCTTTTTGT